CCAGCATGAACCTCACAATTATTGCTACATTTGAGCCAATTCTTGCAGCCACTGTGTCAATCCAGTTCAAGCCTGCCAAAGTCCATTGCCACCCATGTCATAGGCTTTGAAGACATCAGCTCACACTTGCTCCTCTTTCTCTGAACATATAATTTTAGTTTAAGCTTAATTTCTTTGCTTTTTGCATTTTGGTTATTATACTTGGGTCTACAATTAGTGGACAGAACCTCCTTCTAAAAGTGAGGAGGACTTGAAGCCCTTGTTGCAGAAAATCAAAGAATACAGCCTTCAATTTGGATTGCATCTCAGTGTCAAGAAAACAAAGATCCTTACCACTGGACCGATAGGCAACATCATGATAGATGGAGAAAAGATTGAAACTGCCAACAACTTCATCCTGCTTGGATCCATGATTAACACGCTTGGTACAGGAAATCAGGAGACGTATTACTTTGGGAAAGTCTGCAGTTAGGGAGCTCTCCAAATTATTAAGGAGTATGATGTCAGTTTGAGGACTAAGGTGCATCTGTTTCAGGCCATGGTCTTTCTAATCACTTGCCATGCATCTGAGAGCTGGACAATGACTAAGGATGCCAGAAGAATAATTGATGCCTTTGAGCTGTGGTGTTGGAGAAGAGCACTGAACATCCCATGGACTGCTGAAAGAGCAAATAATTATGTCTTGGAAAGGGTGCAGCCAGAGTCCTCTTTTCAGGCAAAGATGATGATGCTTCAGCTCACATACTTCAGGCATGCCGCTATGAGGGGCTAGTCCTTGGAGAGGGACATGATGCTTAGAAAGGTAGAGGGTTGGCAAAGGAAAGAAACACTCTTGACCAGTGGGTTGACATGGTGACTACTGCAATGTGTTCTAATGTGTCAGGAAGCGTGAGGATGGCACAGGATAGGACAGGGCTCAGATCTATTGTTCCTAGGGTCACTATGAGTCATAGTCAACTCGATGACACCAAACAACACCACCACCACAACTAGTTTGATACCTTACCATGGTCAAGACTTATATCCTGTTCTTGTTTATATCCTTATACTAAGAGCAGAAGAACTCTGGCTATCTTGTAGGCAGTGAATAAATATTTCACTGAAATGTTAGTTGAATCTTATATTTATACATAGGTTAGAACATTTCTTTATCTTTCTATGAGGAAAAAGTATATGTGAACAAGTTTTAAACAGTTAAAAAATAGCCCACCATAGTACTTTGCTCATGGTTTGTGTTGCTTAATTACAAATGTATAGGTTGAATTTCATTTCAAGAAGTCTAAGAGGGAAAAAGAAAGAGCCCATGTATCTGAACATTGTTGTTTCACTGTTGTAAACCTCATGCAGGCAGATGTTGCATTTTTCTCTCTGTCCACCCCTCCTCCCCTATTCGTTCTTCTCTTTTAAAAGTAAAAGAAAAAATATTTTATTGTTATACAATCCCTCCCACCAAGTCCGCTCCACTGAGCAGCCTTCATTCTGGACTCCTGTTATGACAATAATACCTAATCATATATCCCTTTTAAACAGTTCTCTCCCTCATCTGTTTCGATGCAGTATACGTAATTTATCTCCTCTTTCTCAGTCTCCCCCAACCCCTATGTCAGTCCTCTTATAACAGTGGCATTATGCAGTATTTGTCCTTTTGTGACTGAGATATTTCACTCAGCATAATGTCCTCCAGGGTCACCCATTTTGTAGAATATTTCATGAGTTCCTTGTTTTTCACTGCAGCATAGTATTCCATTGTGCGAATATACCACAGCTTCTCTATCCATTCATTTGTTGATGGGCACTTGCGTTGTTTCCAACTCTTTGCTATTGTGAACAAAGCCGCAATAAACATAGTGTGTACTTTCTAGTTTTGTTATATACGTTGTCTTCTATAACAGGTGAACCCAGTTACAGCCATTGAGTTGATTGTGACTCATTGAGACCTTATGACACTATTAGGTTTCTGAAGCTGTAAATCTGTACATGAAGACACTTCCCGCCTTATTCTTTTGAAATACCTCCTGGTAAATTCTATCCTGAACTCAACAACCCTTACTGCACTGTGCCACCCAAGTGCTTTTATAGACCCTTGATTTAATATAAAGAAAGTGTCCTGACGTGAAAGTTTTTGAGAAAGGAAATTGCCTCAGGAAATTAACCTTGCATACTTCTTTCTAATTCTGCAATTACTTGCTTCATTTACAAGTGCAAAGACTCTGTTTTGTTTTTTTTTTTTTCACTACAACCCTACCTCTTAGCTTTCATACTAGTATGTGTTCCATCAGTACCTACTGAATCAGGAAATAGTAAAATCCTATGGTGTTAAGCAGAGATTAGGATGATTACATGATAGGTACATCATTGATGTAATAATAGGTTAGATGGATGCTAGATAAGGAATTGCGCTGCCAGCTCAATGGTAAGGGGTTCAAATGCACGAGCTGCTTTGTGGGAGGAAGATGAGAAGTCTCCTTTCGTATGATTTACAGCCTCTGAAAACCCACTAGAGGCTAAGCACTTGATTCTGTGGTTACCTGTTACCTTTGATTATAGAATTCTTTTTCCTAACAAAATAACAACTATGACACTGACTCCAGGGTTCTACACAAGAACTGCTGACCTACAGGTTTATCTCACTGTAGACTTTGACCAGGCATGAGGAGCAGGAAGATGTCTGACAGGTGGGGTTTTGTAAGTGGCCTTCATGGACCCAACACTGCCCTGACAGCATCTGACAGGTGGGGCTTTGCAAGTGGCCTTCATGGACCCAGCACTGCCCTGACAGCATTCATGGATGGTGAAAGCATTCATTCCTGAAGGCTTTTGGGTTCAACTCAATGGTTTCTCAAGATCATGATGACTTTTTTCTTTTACTAGGGATATTGTAGCTA